AGACTGGCCAATTACTACCGAAAGTTTGTGCGGAACTCCACTACAATCGTTGCACCACTGCATAGACTGCTGAGGAAGGAGACAATTTGGAATTGGGACAAAGACTGTACCTTAGCCTTCCAGAAGTTGAAAAAGTCCATAATCAATACCCGGTCCTAAAAGTCACAGATCCATCACTCCCATTCATTGTCACAACTGCCGCGAGCCAATATGGAATTGGCACTATACTCCAACAAAAAAAAACGATGGAGAGGGGTATAGGCCAGCTGAGTTCTTGTCATGTAGATTCCCTAGCAAGAAGGTCGCTGCCTCGACGTATCAGCATGAGTTGTTTGCTTTAAACCACCACTACCTCCGATCCTGTTTTTGCCGAGCCTGATTTTCACAGCGCACCGAGTTTTGTCGAGCCGGCGCAAGTTTCATCCATGAAGAAACAAGGGGAAAAAAAAAGAAGGTGTCCAAGTGGTTAGGACACCGGCTGGAAGTGCGCATTGTGGTATGAGGGTGTGGGTTCAAAACTCCGCAGCCTCGCGCACTCCGCCGGACGGTGCTCTCATAGTACCCAGCCATTCGCACCCCACACTTGGGACGACGCATTGGTAAGTTTATACAGACACTGCCTGCGCACCGCCCAAGGGACTGGTCCATGTTGTTAGTATGCTGGGAGCTGGCTTTGGGGGAGGACTGTTTGAGTGATCGGCCTTTGGGGTGGTCCAATGACTAAGGGGGTTACTCCACAGATGAGGGGTATTCGATGGGTCTGATCTCTGACCCGATGATCAGGTCTGCGCCTAGGTCTAGGGAGTCTCACCGCGGGCTTTGGGGGAGGGTCGTCTGTCCTGAATGATCAGAACCGTTGGATAGTCCGATGATTGGGGTCGCTCCTGAGACAAGGGGTGCTCGAAGGGTTTAGTTAGGCCTCCAGTCCGATGATCGGGTCTGCACCAGTATACTGGCCAGAATGGGGTTTAGGTTAGGGGTCGGGTTAGGTTAGGGTGTCAGTCCGCATGAGGGGTCTGAACCTCTTCAGGTTCCATGGGGGTTGTGTGGGCTCCTGGGGTGTCTTCAGACGTCTTGGGTACCACCTTGGTTTCCCGATCCAGAGGTTCACCGATGGTTGAACCCATACTTGTCCCGCCCTAGTCCTGGTCTGATCCCGCCTCTCATGCATCCTATAGAGTGGTCGTAGCAGGACGGGTCCTACGTACTTACAATGCCTGCAGGCGGGCCCCCGTTAAAATCCTACGATGCCTGCGGGATGGGCTTCATCCGGGATAGTGCCTGGTCTGTCATACCCACTGGAGAGGTCACTTAGGGGTACACATCAAGAGGATTCCTCCAGGTAGAAGACTCATCTGGGCAGGGTAGGGTGGTTGTCGTACCGTTCATAGAAGTGTGGTTCGCCACCAGAGTCTGTGAGGTTGATGCAGGTTGGAAATAGCCCAACCTGCTCTGGGTCGTCCCTGTGTAATCAGGGTGTTCCTCTATGGTAGCAGTCAGGGGTCTGTAGTTAGATCCTTGGCACATTGCGAGTTTGGGAGCCTTGGTCTAGTTAGGCTAGGTCTAGGTAACCAGCTATAGGGGCTCGACTTACGACAGTTAAAAAAGGTAACACAGTTAAAAGTGTAGTCTGCATGGTTGGGTGTCCCCGAAAATGTGGAACCTCCAAGTGACCCCCCCACTGGTTGAACATGCAAATCAGACACTTCCCGAGGCATAGAGCCCAGCCGCTACTACCACATGGATCTTTTAAGAAAAATAAAAATAAAAAGAATAAAAAAAAATAAAAAAAATAAAAAAAATAAAAAAAAACAAAAAAAAACAAACATCCCAAACGTCTCTATAACCACCAGATACATAATATGAGGTGCTCATGTGACTGTGCCGTCAGTGAGGGCTTGTAGGGGACAAACAACGGGAAAAACAAAACAAAAAAAAAAAAAGCTCCCCTATGCTGTGATTGATGGCAGATACAGGATACTACAGCATTGAGACAATTATGTGCCACCCGTGACATACGCCCTGCATGGCTGGCAGGACACTAAAACGACATGGAACAAATCAAAACAAAACAAAAAGTTAAAAAAACAGACTCCTTCCCCACATAGTGGCCAGATACATTCCTCAAAGGCCTCTGCAGCTTCCACCCTCGTGACGGCCTTCCTCGACGTCCCTGGATTTGAAACTTTTTTTTTCTTTTCTTTTTTTTATCGTCGGCCGCCAACCCTGCCCCGAACCCCGTGTTTTAAGGAGTAGCCTACTAGATGGACTTTGCGTTTGTCTTAAAAGGTAGTGGTGGTTTAAGAGAAGCGTTGAACCACTGGCGACATTATCTCATAGGACGACATTTCAAAGTCTATTATGACCACAAGACCCTGCGTTAGTTGAAAACCCAGGTCAGGATGACACCTAAACTGACTAGGTGGGCTGGGAAAATAGAGCAGTTTGACTTCGAACTAAAGCCAGTAAAAGGGAAGTATAATGTGGCCGCAGATGCATTAAGTAGACGTGCAGATTTCTCTGGTGCCATCGTGACGCACCTTGATGCAGGCACCGAACTGCAGCAGCAGATAAAGGCTGCATACGCTGACGATCCCGTCTACAACAAGCTGATTGGGAGAATTTTTCAAACATTGGGTTAAAGATTATGGGCACCAACTAATGATTGTTAGTGATAGAGATAGCCGGTTCACGGGCGAGCACTGGCAACAGTTGATAAAGGTTTATGGGTCAAAATTGACCACATCCTCTGGTAGGCATCCGAAGACCAACGGCCATACGGATCAAATGAACAAGCTGCTCTAGCATGTGCTCCGCATGTACATTAGGCCCGACCAAGTCGATTGGGACAAGCATCTCCCTAAAGTGAAGTCGGTGTATAATAATCTGGTGCACCTGTCTACTGCACGCACCCCAAATGAACTGCACAAGGGTTGGGGCTCTAGCATGTGCTCCGCATGTACATTAGG